CATCGGACCAAAGTTATAATACCATTTCATGCTCATGAAAGGTATAATAATTTGCTGATATTGGAGTGGAATTCTGTAAGAATATCGAGAGCCGCAAAGAAGCAACTCGATCGCTTCATCCGCGATAGGTGGGGCGAAAAAAATTTCAATTTCTTCCAAGCGATTTTGAGCACTTACTAGGAAAGTATTTCAGGAATTTAGATTTTTTTCTTGGTACCCTAAGAAAACAGCTCAATCAGTTTTATTTTTAAAGATGTTAAGTTTTGACGGGTGTCTAAGGGATAAGGATTTGCCTATTCGTATGGAGTGATCCATAATAGCTTCCCTAATACAGTAGGCACATCTCCCGTAAAGCTGCAGTTATACCCATACCTAAAGAGTAATAAGTCAATGTTTTATATTTCCTACAATATTTGAAAGTTCATTTCAAGGCTATCCTTCGAGCTCTGTAAAAGGTTTATAAACTATGTAATACTGAGAAAGCTCTTGCCGACACCGACCCCAGCACCAAGAATGATAAAATACAAGATTGCGCATTCCTGCGGGTGATGACGTCAAGATAGCAACGAATAGGAAAGAGTAATTGGAGATGGAGGAGAGAAAGAGTGTTAACCGTCAAACCATGGAGGTCGCCATATTTACATGCATACAAACATCTCTGCATACAAACAGTTTGCTAAAATGACGTCACACGAACAACTGATTCTGTCAAATTCGCCAAAACCAAAGTAGCGGTACTGCTGATTGCGCCACCTCTGTCTCCCTACATCGTGCCCAGCACTATATTATTACCTCCAGTAAAAGTACATATAAGTATATATGTATGGAATACTCAGATAACCCTAACTTTTGTTAGGTGGACGGCTATTCACTGATGTTATGACCCTCATGAGCCGACATCCACTCCAGCACTGTATTGTAATCTCCAGAACGTTTAGTACATAATTATGTAAGTCTACAGGGTATACAGCGAAAAACTTTGGCTGTGCGGCATAATGCGACTGAATCTCCTCTAAAGCATTTTTTGTCACAGATTTATTCTTCATAAGCCACTACTTTGTCCCAGGATATGTATATATGCATCAATGGATCCAGTTTGAGGACGCGCCTACCTACCCTTTGTAAGCTTGTGTCATAAAAAAAGTAAAACAAGTAAGAAAGTCTAAGTTTGGGCGGAGCCGAACATTAAATACCCGGCGCAAGTATTAGATATACGTTTTTCACCTTTCCGAAAGCTACCGCTACATGGTAAGCCGGGGTGTATCAATTTTGAGTAAATTAGCGTCCTTAAATTTCGAAATATTGAAGTTTCAAACATTTCTGAAATTTACCGTTATATGAAAAGCGGCCGTAATTTTAGTCCGATTTCAATAATTTTCAACGTTTTGCTTCTGTGTGGCAAGTACAATAACCACACCGAGTTTGGAACAAATTGGTAGAACGGTTACCGATATACATATATGTGATCATAAAATTTTACCATAAGCGTATTTCTTGGTAAAGAATTGTTGCAAGCGTCAATTTTGAATAAATTAGCTTCAATATATACAGATTTATCGAAGATTTTGTATTTCTCTAAATTACCGTTATATGGGATGTGGGCGTGGTTATTGTCCGATTTTAAAAAGTTTCGGCGATTTTTTATGCTGTACCAAGGCCAACAACTGTGCCAAGTTTGGAAGAAATTGGTGCAGCGGTTACCAAGTTATACACATGTAACCATAAGTGGGCGTGGCTGCGCCCATTTACCAAAAATGTATAATATTCTTATTTTTCGTCTGAAAATTGTTGTAAATATCAATTTTGAATGAATTATCTTCAGTAGTTACTAAAATATCGCAGTTTTCGTATTTCTGGAAATTACCGTTATATGGGAGGTGGGCGTGGTTACAGTCCGATTTCGCCCATTTTCAATACCATCCGTCCTACGCCAGAAAGAAGTTTACGTCCCAAGTTTCGTTAAGATATCTCAATTTTTACTCGAGTTATCGTGTGCACAGACGGACGGACAGACAGTCACCGCTTAATCGATTTCTCTTTTCATTGTGATCATTTATGTATACATTTGTCTATATCTATCTCGATTCGTTTTGCCTGTTACAAACAACCGTTATGTGAACAAAGTTATAATACCCTTGTGCACAAGTGCGCTCGGGTATAAAAAGTAGTGTTGGGAAATAACGAATACTTTTGATGATCGAGTTATTTGGTATCGATACTTTTAAGGATCAGTTATTTTTTATAGTACTGAGCACTTTCTTCAATATAAGCATGTTGGTAGCATTTCAATGCTTAGAATAGAAATCTGAGAAGCTGGCAGCATTTGATTCAAATTAATTTACTAATCCCTAATTACGTCAAATGAATGCCTAGCAGTAAATGTAAATAAAACTCAGTTATTTTAAGTATCTATTTGACACTTAATACTGAGTACTTTGAATCGATCCTGAGTACATGTATCAAAGTAATGATTGGAACAAATGTATTTTTGCGTACTGAGTACTTTCGATTTCTTTTGCAAGTGCTGAGTTCTTTGAAGTCGATACTTCTGGTACGGTCAATCCTTTTGAAAATCGAGTTATGAGTAACAACAGGAAGGCAATTTTTTATTCGTTTTCCTTTGAGACATATCCCGTGTTTACTTAATATACACCACTTTACGTACAAATTTTGGATGTGTAATGTATTCACTTTTATTTTATTTATTTTTTTTTAATTTTCTCTCCTTTACTTTTTCGATTATCCATATCATTTACTTATCTACACAATATAAATTAATTTAATCCTAAAGCTGCGTTGTTTTCCAGTCAAATAAATGATGTGAGTGAGTATACGAATAAAGTAGTTCGTATCGCGATGAGTTTCGATGAATTTCGCTTGCTATTAGAATTCACAAATCTATTTGCCAAAGCTATTGGCGCTAGCATCGGCGTTTGCAGCCGCATTGGATCCACCAAAACCATTAGAAAAGGAATTCGCCTTAGCGTTGGCATTAGCTACAGAAGAGCCACCACCAAATCCACTGGCGTTGGCATCGGCATTAGCGTTGGCTGAACTGGAACCGCCACCAAATGCGGGACTATTTCCTCCTTGGCCCAAACCACCACCAAAACCGGGTTTTCCACCAAAGCCGCCACCAAATCCGGGGTTTCCACCGAAGCCGCCACCGAATCCGGGATTTCCGCCGGTGAAACCAGGATTTCTATTGAAACCGCCGCCGTGATTTGCACCAAATCCAGGGTTACCACCGAATCCAGAGTTACCACCGAAACCAGGGTTAACACCGAAGCCAGGGTTACCACCGAATCCAGAATTACCACCGAATCCAGGGTTACCACCGAATCCAGGTTTACCACCAAAGCCAGGGTTACCACCGAAGCCAGGGTTACCACCAAATCCTCCACCTGCTGCGCCAGCATTAGCGTTGGCGTTGGCGCCGGCTTGGGAGCCACCATATTGCTGTGGCCTAGCACAGCAAACGGCGATCAATGCGGAGAGTACTACGAACAGCTTCATTATAACGGTGAAGTTGCTAACGTATTTTGGGAAATTCTAATACGAACCACTAAGCGTTGATAACAAAACTAGCAAATGTTTGGCCCAAGCCGGCGTTTTTATAGCAAAAGTCAGCGAACTGCTACGAATTTTCGGTGATCTTAGACAGGTTATCTCGAGGGATAGTACCCAGTGTGTGTGTGTGCTTTCAGTGTGAGGTGTGTGTGTGTGTACATAAATGTGTATGTATATGAATATTTGCCTGGATGATTACATTTGAAGCTCACAACAATTCACATGCGCGTGCGAAATCTAAATGAGAGTATATTATGGAGGCAAATAAACCAGAAAATATAAAACCAGATACTTATGTATATTTTTTAAACTTATTTATGGAGATGATTATACTTGCAGAGTTGACCAAATAGAAATTTATTTTCTTAAAAGATCACGACAAAATAATAAGAGGAAAGGAATTAAACCAAAAACAATTCCTTTCGTTATATATTCAGACTGTGTGGATGTATTTGTACATGTACTACATTTGTATGAATAGGAGCATCATCAACGGCAAACATAAATGGTTGTTTATCTAAATAAATAAAAAAAAACATACAACCAGAGATGTACGCGCGGCGGGGAGGTTTTGTAGGTTCGAATGACGAATATTTTTGAATCCGAAAGTTGAAATACCAGGTTGATCGATCTTTGCCCGGAGTGCATATAGTTTTCAAGATTTGGATAGCTTTAAACAATATTTTGGAAATAAAAAAATTTAATTTCGATATCTATTAAGTAAATTTCTTACTCCAAAATTTTGGTGGCAACCCTATTCCGAAATACGGTAGAATGAATGGTACATATCTTGAGCATATATGTACCGTCTATACACAAAAAAATGCTGATTGAAATTAACCAAATAAAAATTTGTATCACTTAGAAGCGTGGAAATTGATGGAAAATATTTTCCGAACAAAGTTCTCAACAACACCTCTCCTTTGATATCCATATTGTGATGTTTTGGATAAATTGTTCAGAATTGAAAATAAGTGGCAACCTTACACTATTATCGTAAGGAATAATATCTTGTATATAGGAAAAGCATTGTTTAAGAACCCTCTCTAGGTACCTATGGATAATAATATTTTACCTTTTTCTCTAGACAAAGAATTAAATAAATATGCGATTCAAAATAGGTGGCAACCCTATTAAAAATATTTTTGAATAAAGGATCTTTAAAATACCTTCCATTTGATACTTATTTTATGATGTTTTAATTAATTTTTAACTAATTTCGAATAGGTGGCAACCTTATACGGTTCAAAATATTATCTGTGTACAAAATTTCATCACATTTTGTGCTATTTCACAAAGCATAATTCTCTTCTTCCCCTTTCTATTTTATAAAAGTAGGATGGCAAATGAATTATTTTGGAAGTTTTTAGTTTTTACAAGAAGCTCAGTACTTTTGAAATAAGTGTTTAATATATGTAACTTGTAAAAACGGATTTCATTTAAAGACATATTTGCCATAAAGAAATAAATAGTCCAGTACAAGTGTTAAGTTCTAGGAAAGCATTTATGTAGGTAGGTGTGTTAACTGGCATTGAGAAATCCCCGGTGGCAGTGAGTTTGTTTGAAAACAAAATAATTGTACTTGTAGTACTACACATGCGCTCTCATACATAGATATGTAAATTTGTTTTGCGTTTTCGCACAATAAATGCAAACAGTGAAATTCACTTCTAAATATGATGCACCTAAGTATGACTAACAGATTTTATTTAACGTGTACGTACTTTGTTGCTATTTTATAAATATTTTGCTTGTCAAATGTATTAAATATTTATATTTTCGGAGGAAAGTATTAGATAATCTAGATGAGCATATAGATTTTATACTATTTATGATTACATACTATAAATTGACGTCACAATATACGACAAATCTCTAAAGACAATTGGGGTATTCACAACGGTGTCGTAAGTGTCATATTGTTGATTGTTGTAAACTTTAAACGCTTTAAAAACATATTAAGGGGTTCGAAAAGTACCATCAAAGTTATATTATGAATTTTCGCAGTGTTAAAAAACAGTTAAAGTTCAATAAACGCTTATTTGAGCTTTTAAAGTTTACGACATACAACAATACGACACTTACGACACCGTTGTGAATCCCTCAAATATTCCGAGATTAGTATCAATCGAGTAAAAATGGGCATTAATTAGTCGCAACTAGTCTCATACTTGTATTATTGGAGAACCATAGAACCGGCTCATCGATTATGGGTATAATTAGGGAGCAGTTAGTCCCCGACTCATCTCTAACGGGTACAAGTAGCGATTCAATGATATATACGCACTAAGTCAAGGAAATTTCATGCGCGACGTTGGCATGTAGAGAGAGTATTCGAATCGCAGCTGAAACAAGTTTTTATTTCTTAAAAGCGACTAGTCACTATTTATAGTTACTCGGGTATAAACGCGATCAATTAGTCTCTTCATAGGACATGTTCGAACAAAAGTGATCAGTTCATTTCATATCTTCACCAGAGTGGAAGATCGACTTATCTCGGCAGTCAGTTCGCAAACGCCCAATTTCAGAATTGTATTAAAAAAAACACCCTATCTCAGAATTCGGTTCAAAAACGCTCCAACTCAGCACATTACCCAAAGTATTTTCATTTGGGATAGGGCGCTTACGAATCGAATTCTAAAATAGGGAGTCTTCAATCAAATTATGAAGTAGGGCGTTCTTGAAAAGTTTTCTGAGATGGGGCATTTTCAAACTGGCTGCCGAGATAGGTCGATCTACCACTCAGGTGACGATATAAAAAGATCAAAAATGGTATTACACTTAAGGAGTGAGATTCTCATAGAGATCATTTGTCATCAAATCAATATGGCTATTGCACGAGCATATCAATACAATCAGCTTACATCGTTGAGCAGTCCTTCTCGCCCGCGGAATAAGTATGCGGTTACCTAGTGCGGTCCTAGGGAACATAATTATCGCGACAAATGGATTTTATATCCCAATTTTTCAACCTCCATCCATTGGACGGATTTATTTGTTGCCCTCTAACACGATAAAGTATCCAAGCTTAATTCATAATAGCAAGTTTTATTGCAAGCCGAACTTCAGGAGAATTCAGGAGAAGGTAAACAGGGCGTTGATTGTCTTTTATTGCTATAGAGAAGCCATTGACGTCATTATCATATTCTGTTCTCGTGTGGTAAATCGCATTGGACAAGGCCGCCATTATAAATCAACTGGAGGGAATGCAAAGATCTGCCTAAATTTGAATCACTGGGATACTTCGGAGCAGGAAAAGCTGCGGCTACACGCGCTGAATTAGGGCTGAGGAGCTTAGGCAAAAACATTTTGTTATTGTTTATTTCTTTTTCAGCGTTTGACAGCGTTCGAAAGAAAATGTTTACATTCTGTATGTTTCAGAAATACAAAACCGAATATCTGGGAAGGCTGATTCTCTCACCGCTCTCAATTTCCGTAAGGCCGTAACTTAAAAATCTAAAATCTGTAGGTTCTTAAGTTTCTTACGGTAAGTTAAGTTTTAACTAACCATCAAAAAGTTTCTCATATAAAAGCTTCGCAAAAATATTAAGTTAAGTTAAGTAACGTAAATTAAGTCTAGACCAGATGAGCTTTAAAGGATCTCGTAGGCAAAACAGACACCTAATAAATTCAAATTCGCGCATACATACATAGCTGTGGTGAGTGTCGTCGCCCTGCCTTCTAATTTACTGTTTTTGTTAGAGCTTTTTCATCCTTATATTTGCCTAGGAAATTGTCTTTTTTCTGAATATGCTATTCTCCATGTTCATAGGCGGCACTGTTGATGGAGATCGCTGATTGTGCATTTTTGACACAATTAGAAAAAAAAAATTTACCAAAAACCCGCAGCGTTTCGTTGAAAACATAGAAAAAAATGCATAACTTTTAATTTTCACTTTTTATTTATTTTTTTACTTCGACATTTTTTTTACCTTAAAATTTATACATAAATCACATTAGCTTAGATATTTGTGGGCAGTTCGACATGAGTGATATGTGTTGCACTAAAATTTTAGCAAATTATTTTCTACCATAAGTTAATTGGCCGGCGCTAGCATTAGCACTGGAAGAGGCACTCGCATTGCCACCACCAGCTTTAGCATTCGCACTAGAACTAGCGTTTGCTGAAGCACCACCAGCACCACCAGCTCCACCAGCACTCGCATTTGCATTGGCGATGGCATTAGAGCTAGCGCCACCACCATTGTAGCCATCTGGACCTGCAGGAAGCCCACCGCCATTGTAGATACCTGGACCTGGAGGGAAGCCTCCGCCATTGTGGATACCGGCGCCCATGGGCGTAGCCAGAACGAAATTTAGGGGGGGCCATACAAAATAAAAAATTCAAAACCAATAACTTATTATGTACTAAAAAATTTTTTATTATAGCTTAAAATTATTGTAACCAATAAAGGTAAATATGTTGTACAAAAAACAAATAAACAGAAGTTCACAAAAGTTGATATAAAACTATTCGTCGATTTAAATTGTTAACTTTTTACTGAGCATGTTTATTTTACGAGGAGGAAGCATCGGAAGCCTAACCCCTTCCGTGTGAGACTTTAACCCAAACTAAAATTCCTACCGTCATGTACCGTTCCCCTCCCGGTACCACCGTCAAGGATTTCGTCGGGATTATAACACTGTGTGACTGATAAGGTTATAGATCTATTCTCTTCCTCTTCTTCCTTTTTGGAGCTGTAACCGCCAAAGCGATTTTGACCAACTGAAGCCTATTAGAAATGCCAAGTGAAGCCAGAATACTTTCAGAGCTGGGGCGTCGGTGTCCATTCGAACGACATGATCAAGCCAGTTGAGCCGCTGTATTTTAATACGCCACATACCAGCACGGGCATGATGAGTGATTTATAGTGTGGTTTTCGTACGTCGAGAGAGGACTTTACTCCTGAATTGCCTACTCAGTCCAAAGCAGCACTTGTTGGCAAGAGCGATTCTGCGTTGGATTTCCATGCTGACATTATTACCGGTGTTAATGCTGGTTCCCAAGTAAATGAAATTCTCTACTTCCTCGAAATTATAACTGTCAAAAGTGACGTGGGTGCCAGGCGCGAATGTGCTGATTGTTTGTTTGATGACAGGAGATACTTCGTCTTGTCGTCGTTTACCACCAGACCCATTCGCTATGCTTCCTTGTCCAACTTGTAAAAGTCAGGACAGACTTCGCGGTTTTTCTTACCGACGATGTCAGTGTCATCGGCATAAGCCAGCAATTGTACGCTCTTGTAGTAAATTGTTCCTAAGCGGTTCTGTTCTGAAGATCTTATTATCTTCTCCAACATCAGATTAAAGAAGTCACATGAAAGAGAGCCGCCCTGTCTGAAACCCCGTCTGGTGGCGAAAGGCAACAGAGCAGAGCTGATGTTATTACTCAACGTAATTTTTCACAGGCGTATGACAGACATAGCGCCATATACCTTTAAGTACTGTCGAAAGCGGCTTTAAAGTCGACAAATAGGTGGTGAGTGCGGATCATTTTCTCGCGGGTCTTTTCCAAGTTTCGGCGTACTGTGAATACCTGGTCTATGGTAGACCATACATTCGATAAGACCTTGCAACCTATGCGCGCGGTGGTAGGCGGGGTCGCCTTTCTTGTGGATTTGGCAGAGCGCACTTGAACTCCTTGCCATCGTAATTAAATAGCTCAGCTGACAGGCCGTCAGCTCAAACAGCTTTGGCACTTTTCTTCATAGTCAGGCGCTGGGATATCGACTCCATCGTCATCGACTGGGACCTCGAAGTGCTTCTGCCTTTCAAAAGGGTCGAAAAGTGTTCCCTCCATAATCTGAGTACGTTCTGGACATCGGTCACTAGGTCACCATCGTTGTTCCCAAAAGAGTCTTGAAACCTTCCGTAAGTCGCTCAACTCTGCTAAAAATATCGGGTGTTTTTTCTGTCGGCCAGCATTTCAAGCATTTTCTCACACTCCTCATCGTTCCAGTAATGAGAGGGAAATGTGGTTCCACTGCTCGCGCAAGTTGGTTTGTTGAAGAGTGCTCTCTCACATCAGGTATGAGGGTCGAGCGCCGAATCCATTGGCCGTCTGTTTTGATTGCCGCTTTTCGACGTTGAACTTTCTCTGCATTGTTGGGGGATGCATCAATATAGTAGTGCGAGTCGATGTTTGGCCCTCGGAGTGTACGTATGTACATCTAAAACATGGAAGAATGCCTTCCGTCTATCACAACATGCTCGATTTGGTTCCCGTTTTTCGATGTGGAGACATCCATGTAGCTTGAGAGAACGAAAAATGGCACTGAAGATGGCACAACGCCGAAACCGGTTTGTCCCCAAACCAAATTTGACAAGGGATGACGGAAAATCGTTCCACAATACATCACACTCCTACCCTGTCGGAAACACCAACAACGAAAATGAGAATAGCTTGATGGATCTTTTTATGCTAGAACCCAGTAATAAATACTGCCAAGTTTCGGGCCCCGGCGAAGTGGATCATCCTCAGCCCGCCGTTTCTATGTGGAGGCTGATTTTTTCGACACTCGCACCAAAGATCCCTTCGTTGCCCACCTTGGCATTTAAATCGCCAAGCACGATTTTTATACGTGTCGGGGGCAGCGCTAATATGTGCGCTCTAAGCTAAGAGAGCCCTGGATGCCTCGTCCTTCTCTTCCATCGGGGCATTGGCACATATGAATGAGATGTTGAAGAATCTCGCTTTGATGCGGATTGTGGCTAGACTTTCGTCCACTAGACTGAACGCCGGTCTCTCTCCCACCACAAATCCAACACCGAATTGCACTCCTTTACGTGGCAACTGTAGTAGACGTCGCAAAGCTCACGCTTACCTTCCTCGCCCCGTCCATCGCATTTCGTGGATGGAGCTGATGTCAGCCTTTATTTTCCCTAGGACTTCAACCAGCCGGGCAGAGTCACCATCCCGATTAATCCCCAGCGCACGCGGGGTGTTACGCTCTCCCACTTTACCTCGCTCCCAAACTAGCGTTCGGTCGCTACCCAGAGTATTCATGGAGTTAGTTAGCTGCGATTTGAACCGTAAGCACACGAATCACTTCTGGCCACTCCCAGGTGAATGGCAGTCAAAAGCTTTGCAGTACTGGGAAATGTACAAAACATAGTGGCCAAAAACGAATATCTCAACTAAACCCTGATGAATTTTTTTTAAATTCGCTCTACATACCTGTATAATAAACCAAATAGCCGGACAAAACGTTAAATGATATACATACATATGTATGTATGTATAAGTATGAGGGCGTATTGAACATTTTGAGTACGCAGATTTTTTAGGCTGGTATATTTATTTATGCTAAATATATTACTTGATTTTGTTTTGTCCCACTTTAGAAGTAAACGTCTTGGCTGTAAATTTATTTATAGTTTCCGTTCAATCAATTTTTGCTCATTTTCGACTGCAGCCAGGTTTTTACCCTTTTAAAATGGAAGTGCTTTGAAGTTAGAGATAATAACTTGATACAGAACCGGATGATCCACATATCTACTTTTCAAATCAATTTACTAATTATTTAGATAGCGTTGGGAGTATAATTTGTTATACAGTATATATATAGGAAAAACCTTGAAATTTAGGGGGGCCGAAATTATCAAGCAAGCATTTCGTGGTAGTATTTTTGAATATCTAGGCAAAAATTTGAAAGATAGAGGGGGGTCCGGGCCCCCCCCTGCCCCTACCTGGCTACGCCCATGCCGGTGCCCCCATTGCCACCTGGCCTGCCGGGGAAGCCCGAGCCGCCGTGACCGCCATGACCGCCATGACCGCCATGACCGCCACGTCCGCCATGACCTCCGTGTCCGCCATCTCCTCCGTATCCGCCTCCTATAAAGCCAGGTCCTCCGGGACCACGACCAGGTGGTCCATATTGACCGCCTTCGGCATTGGCAGTAGCTCCAGCATTAGCATCGGCGGCACCGCCATATCCTTGTGGGCGAGCGTACGCTACTGCCACGATAGCAAAAAGTAAAACGAACAACTTCATTGAATTTGAATCGACTTGGATGCTGGCTGAAAAGATATATGTAGATAGAACTAACTGCACCTGCACAACAAAACTAACATCCCACCTGCGAGCCACAGTGATTTTATAGCAAACGAGCGGGATCAAAAATTGTTGGTTGTGAGAGAAACAGGGGGCAAGAGGCTGGCGCCAGCGAAATTGTTAGCTGCAAAATTAAAATTGGCTAAGAAGCTTGTTTTTTAGTGGGCCAGCTGTCGGAGAGTGCGAAATGCACGGATGCTGTAAAGTGTGTAAGAGTGTGTGTGTGGAGAATTGAGAAAAAATGCAAGTCAAATGGGTGAGCTATTCTTAATTTCGCCAGAACGCCAAAGCCATTCGAGTAGAAGAAGAAATAATTCTCCAAATTAATTAATTAAAATGGCTACAGAGTGCTTTAACATGTGTATACACATACATACGCACATACTTATATGTATATGTGTGCATATGCTTGCCCAAACATTAGAGCCGGACGAAAAAAGTTTGACCAAACAGTGTCCTATTTGAAAACTTATTTACATTGATGGTATCTCGTGACAATACGAAGCTTTTTATTCTGGACCAAACTAGAATTCGGCAAACATTTTTCTTTGAACATTTGTGAATAAGCGCTGCCGCACTTTTTGGGAAGTGATGCTGGAGTGACAGTCCTTGGCTATATATACATCTGGGTCGTACCGGATACGTAGATCCGACTGTCGTGGGAACGCTTTTGGCGTTTACTTAGATTTTTCCCTCGCCTAATCTTTTAATGTTAAAGTAAGTATTTTTTAAACGAATTCTTGTATGTAAGGCATATGAAGTAAACCGAATACATACAATACAAGAAAACACACTCTTATTAAAAGTTCAATCCCTACGAGTAGCTTCCGATAGATGCTCAAATCCCGTTTAGTTGCTTTCGAATGTAGTTTATCCCCTTCCCATATTCGAAAATTTCCTACCCACTGCTTTGAATGGAAACCCCAAGTGGTCGAAAATTAGGGAACTGTGTTCTACAGCAACTAACCGGACGAAGATCCGCTAAAATTTAATTCTTCGGCAGATAATATAGCCAGTTGGAAAACGCCCTATCTCAAAACATGTTTCAATAACATCCTATTTCAAATTTCGGCTGAAGAACGCTCTATTCTAGAGCTTAATTGAAAAATGCCCTATCTCAGAATTTGGTTCAAAAACGCGAACTGGCTGCCGAGATAGGTCGATCTTCCATTCAGCCATCGATATATACGTAGGTATGTATTTTAGTTGTTATTTGCTTATGCACAACCAGGATTCAATGATGACATAATTATGCAAATTTTTATTTTTTGATACCATTTTATTTTCAATTGCGCGTTACGTGCGCAAAGCAGTGTTGCTTACCTTTTTCGAATATTTCCGAAGGTTCATTCGAACTAACGATAGAGTACGAGCGTAGAGTTTGATTTTTTGAATAGAACCGCTTTTTGAGTAAAAGCCCTGGTGTTTTGTGTTTTATTTTATTTTATTTTTTCAAGTGTACTTGTACTCACTCAATTTGCTTTTGTTCCAAATTTGAGGTACTCATCACAGAAGCTTCGAAAAATCGGTAGCTGTTTTCTATTAGTGTCATGTGGAATGACCCGGTCTAATGTGCACGGACTCACCTATAAGGCTGACAAAGCTGCTATTCAACGAGTTATCTAAAATACTTTTTTTCAGTATATCGGTTTTATTATTCAATTCTTACCGATTGCAGTATACATACATATTACTTTCTTGTAAAAAAATCGTATAAATTTAGGTAGCGAAATATCTATTATTATTTTATTAATACAAACCTAACTTATGGTTAGTTCTTATGCTACGAAATTAATCAAAACGCATGGTACAATCATTACAGGTATTATCTTCCCAGATAATTTTGCTTCATATCAAAATTTATGTTCCCTTATTTTCAATTTGATGCAGCTTAATGTTGATTCTTTAACTTTTATTTGGCTTTGCGTTTTGTTTTCGCTGAATTTAATTTTTACAATGTTTCAACACAAAAGAAGAAACGTTTGAAAGAAAGTGAGCTTTACTAATTTTTAATTTATTTACTAAGCAAATGTTTATTTTTTGGCTTTTGCAAATTAAATCAATTCTCTGCAAGGTTTGTTAAAAAAAATGGTATATGGGGTATGGAAATATCCCTTTTTCCCTAGCAGTAAACCATTTAGTGTTGGCAACAATGATGTTTTTCAAATAAGGCAGATCGGAATATGCGCTCTCTGGGAAGGCAACACCTGTAATTATTGTACCATGATTAAAACCCCCCATCAGCCGTTGAAAACAATAAACAAAAAACAAAACAACCAAACTAATATTGCATATGTATATTAATACAGAAACGAATAGAATAGAAACCAAAAAACCGGTAAAATTAAAATTACATTTCGTATTTTTTTTGTTCTTGTTATACAAAACTCATTAATCTCGACGACAGCTTAATGATTTTCTCTCACATTTTGTTGTTACTTTACTTGAAGTTACTCGTGAAAATAAGTCAAAATTTCTTGTCATTCAAGTCAACGAAATCTACTCTGTGAGTTTACGTCTTCAGTATTTATGTAGCTACATATGTACACATGTAAGCGAATTATAACTCGGGTCATGTGAATAGGCGCATTAACGTTTTTAGGTATTTCGTTTTGAAAAGTTATCAACTTTGAAAAAAATTTTGTGAAAATGTGAAGAAAGTACCTTGGCCAGCCACATAACGGTAAATTTCAGAAATACGGTATATCGAATTAGGAGATTTTCATATCTGTATCGTTAGTTCGATTTTCAAAAATCAGGTGTCAAATTAGTCTTAGTTTTTTGAAAAGAGTTTTCACATGTTAGAAAATTAAATTCAAATTATTTAATAACTAAGTTAAACGAATTGTTAAATATGGATATCAATCGAAAGGCTTTTGGAAAATCTTTACTTTTTATCTACAAGTAGGAGGTTGCCATTTGCTGCGTCGAACGGCGCTGTGGGCAGACGGAGATAAAGGCATAGACAAGGATATACACAAAGACAAAGATAATGATAGTGATAAGTATGTATATATGGCACATCTAATAATATAGAGAAGCAATTAAAAATTTACGACATGTGAGACGTATAAAATTCCAATCGTAATTCTTAACGTTGTACATTAATTTGATATCCTTCTTTTTGTTTTCAGAGCACAAGTGTTAAGTCAGAAACAACACCTTTTTCCTTTTAATTTTAGCCCATTATGATGACAATAAAAACTCCTAAACGGTCGTGCTGTCATTTCCAAGTAGCCTTTGTATTCTGGTTCCATTTTCAGCGGATTGCCTTCAAAGTCCTGGATCCGCTAAATTCTCAATTTTCGCATTTTTATACCTTTCATGAGCATGAAATGGTATAACTTTGGTCCGATGTTTGTAAGTACCAGAACAAAAAGAGATAGACCCATGGAAATGTATACTTATATGATCAGAACGTCGAGCTGAGTTGATTTAGCC